GGTCATGTTTTATATATCACAGGAAAAGAGAACCTAACTAAGACAACCATGAGTAGCCAAAGTAATCTTCAATAGAAACAGCAGAACTGTATGCAGTTTGAAGCAGACAGCCTTATACAGGCATGCAGAAAGGCAAACCAATGAACAGGCTAGAGGGACTGGAAATAAAACAGCAATGCCACGAACACTCTTGTCTTGACAAAGGGGCCTAATATTCAGAATGTATAAAGAACTACAAAATTTAAACCATGATGTCCCTCAAAAAAAACAAAACAAAACAAAACCCCCAAACTCCTGCCTATCAACAAATGGGCTAGTGAATTCAACAGTTCTCAAAAGAAGGAACGCAAATTGCCAATAAATATTTTTAAAATGTTCAAAATCCCTAGTCATCAGGGGAAGCAACTTAAAACTACTCTGGGAGACCATCTCCCTCTGGTAAGAATGGCTATCACCAAGAAATCTGACAAACACCATGGAGAGGCTCTAATGAAAGAAGAATCTTAGCTGATTCTGATGGAGTGCAACCCAACATAGACACTAGACTTCAGTGTGGAGGTTCCCCAAAAAATTATTCAAAAAACCAAACATAATTACTGTACGGCTCAGCTATACTACTCCCAGGAATATGCTAGCACAAATTTTTTGTGTATCTGTATTTATTGTTATTCTATTCACAATAGCAAGGAAACAGAGCTATCCTAGAAGTCCACTGACAGATAAATGGATAATGAAAAAGCAGTACATATACACAATGGAGTATCACTCAGCTGTAAAGAAAAGTGAAATCATGGAATTTGAAGGAAACTGGATAGACTTAGAAAGTATAATATTAACTGAGGTGACTCAAACTCAAAAAGAAAAGAATCATAATTCTGTCTCATATGTGAATCCCGGATTGTAATGTATGGGTATATAAACATGTGATGTGTGCGTGTGCGCACATGTGTGTACATGTGTGTGCATGTGTGTGTGTGTGCATGTGTGTGCGTACGCGACTACGGGTCAGGCTCAACAAACATAAAGGAGACTAAAAGAGGGTAAACATCAGTAGCAAGGATCTGAGGGTGGCTGCAGGCCACACAGGTCATGAAAGGGGCAAAGGGACTGGGTGGGAGCTGCAAGGGAGGATAAGGGTGGCAGAAAAAGGGAGGGATAGTATACTAGACACGCCTTATTAAAAATGACTTAAGATATCTAATACTTCGTATGCTGATTTAAATATAAAGTCTCAAAGGATAATATGGGTTGCCAATAGTTTAGTCGCTGATCTATGACCTCATTGAGAATAGTGCTCATATCTATAAACCTCAACGAGTATTTGTTCAAGTGGTTTTTCCTAAGTTAGATTTTATATATACTATTAACTTTTAACTAAATATGTCACAATTCATTCTTAAAACTATATCTAAGAAAACAAAAGATAATGTTATTTGTGAAGCACACATTGTTCCAGAAATGTTAAGACGGTTATGACTTGATCTGAGTAACCTGTGCTGTATCCACAGTGTAAGCTTTTCTTGGGAAGGGAATGTATTTTGTCCCCCTGAAACATACTGAACTTTGCCCTCTGGCTTACAAGGGGAGAAATGGTTGGAATAAACATGTGTTCCAATATAAATTAAAATTAAAAATCATAAATAATATTTTTAATGTGATCTTGTTGAACATCAAATAATCATTAAAAATATGAATACTGTAATTCTCATAAAGGGGATTTTATAATAAAAAATGGCCAAAGAAGCCACTTCTGCCACTAAGCAGGAGCCCATGTGCTCTCCTCAGTAAGAGGACATGCTATGAAGGGTGTGCAGTCTGAGATGGAAGCATCTCCATTCACGGCAAAATTTCAATTTGTAAGTCATTGTCTCCATTTTTCCTCTGCACATTCAGCTCTCACTCTGCAGCCCTGGCTGGCTGTGAACTCATGGTCACCCTCCAGACTCTCTCTACCTCTCAAGAACTGGGATTACATCTGTCTAAACAGCTCTCTCTCTGCTAAAAAAGTCAGCTCATTTTACTTATCTGAAAACATCAATCTTTTTAGGATTAAATTATACTTAGTGTCCATTTTATCTGTCTTCTTCCCATGACAGGAATTATACATTAAATATTTAAAAGGGTTAATATTATTCAAAGTATAACATTTTATGTTCCTCTACGTATATAGTTAGTGTTTTCTCTAATCAAGAGTAGAATTAATACCTGCTTAATTTAAACTGCAGAAACACTAAAAATTTCAAATAGCAAAGTCATTCCTAATCCTACCTCTCAGAAATAAGTCTGTGGTCCATAATCTTTCTCACAATATGAGTGCATGTGACAGGAGAAGCAGCTCACACACTGACGGCTGCCATGCTGCATGTACGTGTTTCTGTGCCTTCTCCCTTACATTTTTTAATATATCCGCAGTAGCATTCCAATAGATCTTATTCTACAATATCTTTTAATATATGTAAATGATTTCACTATTTGGATAATACTTTCTTCAAGTGCTCATCTGATATCTGACAGGTATTTATGAATGGAGATTTAGATATTATATTCTGATACAGTATGTTCTGGGAGTATCAAATTTAAACTTAGCATATAAAATGAACAACAGGGTCTGATACATGTAATCTCAACTCACATGTGTATTTTAAGAATGGTGAGGATTAAGGCAGTTTAAAAAAAATCCATAGACAATAGCTTAGTCTTAGTGTCACTCATCCATGTTTCTAGACTGTTTTGACTTCCTAACAGTTTTGGATAAATAGTACAGGCTTTTCTGTTTCAGGCAGGTTTTCCATGAGAAATACAGAGTTGCTGCTTCTCTTCAGGTTATGGATGCCTCCGTGGCTGATGGCGCACCTTCTGAGAGCTGCTTCCATTCCGACATAAAGCTGCTGCAAGCATGCATATTCTGAGGATATAATTTTTGTTTTCCAAACCTTTCACACACATTTATCCTCCTCACTTTTGCTGAGTTTTGTGATTTGAGACACAGTTGCCTATTTCTGTATTTTCAACACAGCAGTACCATAGCATAGTCCAAATACACAGTCCTATTAATAAACAAATAGTGTAAGACATTGTAGGTTTAATCCAGAACCATAACTATGTCAGGAAAACTAAGATATGTAATCTTATGATTAGTATATATAAATGTAGAGGCCCTGTTCATTAAAGAACACTTTTTACATATTCCAGATGACTAGCCAAAGTCACCCAGAGGGAGTGCTTCACTTTTTGTTTCTATTTTGTATAATCTACTAAGTAGAAAAATTTTTATTATACTGCAATCAAATGAAGCATAAATATAAAATGTTAATATTGGCGCTCAATGGATATTACAGTTAATCAACAAAAATGTACATCAATTCTGCTTTAATTAACAAATAGCTAAATTGAAGTTTTTGTTTGTACAGGTCATGCTCCTAAATATATTAAACACACCCTAAAATGATATTATTTGAACTATTAATGTGATTATTTAAAAATAGTGTAAATGAAAATTATTCTGTTTGTGTAATAGACATCTGAATTAATTAATATAATTGAGTCAAAGTGTGCGTGGGGGGGCAGAAGGGCCACTTGTTAAAGAATGTAATGTTCAAAATACATCAATGCTGTCAAATTCTAGAGGAAAACACCCTCACAGTCAGGATCTGTTATATTCAACTTCTGATTATTTCTTTTAAAAAACAGTCATTACATGAACTTTCAAACACCACACTCTATCTTAACTGAGCCTCAGGAGGCTGCTGAGGCAGGAGAATCAAGATTTTGAAGTCAACCTGGGCTATTTAGTAAAATTTGGTTGCAAACAAAAATTTAAACAATTGATAAAAATATAGGTTGTTTCAATTTGTATTGTATTTTGTAAATTTTTATAGATTGAGACTTAACCCAGTATCTTGTGTGTGTGTGTGTGTGTGCGCGCGTGCGTGTGCATGCACATCCTTCGTCCATCCTTCCATCCTCCTCCTCCTTCCACTTCCTCCTCTTCTTCTTCCCTTTACCCTCGCCTTTGGTTATTTCAGACGAGGTCTCTCTACATAGCTCTGGTTGCCATGGAACTCACTATGTAGACCAAGCTGGCCTCATACTTCCCTCCAGCGATCTGCCTACCTCTATTTCCCAAACACGGGCAATAAAGGCATGTGCCGTCATCATGATTTCATAAGACTGTGGATAATAAAACCAAAATTCTATTGGTACATGTGCCTGAATAACTTGCAACTTTCTTTTTCCATTTTTGATAGTGAAAATGTATGAATCAAAAGAAAAGAATAGAAAAGTGAATTGGAAACGCCTTTGTGAGGAAACTGAACGTTGATGGAGCCAATGGCAGGCACACTGTTAGTCAGTTCTTTTGGTACTACAGCATGCATCCACCCACATCCTAAAACTAAACTAACAATGTGCTTTATTCTTTTCAGTGAATAAGAACTTATGATGTTGACTAAAAACCAAATGAGAATAAACATTTAGAAACTTAAAACTCTTGAAATTAAAATTATAAGATTTACTGTTAGGTATTTAGACTTAGCTCTTCAAGAAGCATCTAATTGCATATCTGACATGCTATCATAACAAGGCACAATGCATATGAATTTTATACCACGTGAAAATAAATCAAAGCATGCTATTGAAAATTTCACGGAGAGAACATTCAACATTTACTGAAATTAGCCCCACAAGTCAGCCAATCATTTTCTGGACATATATAGTAAATATTGCAACGTTGCAAGCCACATACGATATGACTCCTCAAATACATAAGGGTGTGTAAATAATCACAGGTAAAGCACGAGGATGTGTGTTTCTGTGTTCCAACAAAACTTAGCAAAAAGGTCATCACAAAGTCTGGCTAAGCAGCAGCCTTCAAGGAGATTATACATTACCAGAGTACCAATTAGTGGGGCTAACAAATGAAGGTAGATTCATACAAAAAAAAAACCACTCCTGATATTTGCAAGATCTTTTAAAAATTTTAAGTAGTATATAAATCTTACCTGATTAGGTATCCTCAATGGGGGCCTTGGGCCTCCAGGGTACCGAGGTGACATAAAAGGCTATTAAAGACAAACAAACCAAAAATCAGAACAATGTAAAACACAAATTTAAAAACTAATTACTTGAAAAATGTAGAATTAATACATTCATTTTTCTATGTCTCCAACAGAACAAAGCTTCTAAGAAAACTGCCATCTTGCTTTTTATTTTGGAGACTATCTGGGAATTTTCCACAGGAAATGTAAAAACATCAAAGATAATTAACTACAGTCATTAAAAATGTGAATTTCTAAAATGATCAGATCTAATTGGCAGCAACAAGATGAAGAAATGGGTAAGTTAGTCCCCGTAGCTATTAGGTTTGGTGATTATTGCATTATACACAATAGGCTATGAGTGTATACCTTTTAATAAACTATAAATATTATCAGTTTTCAATAAAAATTAAAATTATCAAACTTACCCCTCCACTGCTATTCTATACAAGATTGTAAAGAACTTTGTTTTCTACAGGCCATCTGTAGTCAAAAATACTTTGTTGGCCTTTTCCCATGAGTCTGTTACATGATTAACTATAAACTTTAAAGGTAAAACTTCTTTTCCTATTTTGATTGTAGTATGCTCTGAAGTACATATACATTTAAACAAAAGGAAAATGGTCTTCTTTTAAAATTCAGGTTAGTTTATGTTGTTGGATGACTCAAAAGCTCTTTTAAGTTGGGTTAAATCTTTAGTAGGAAAGTGAGTATCTAGGAGTATCCTTGTAGCCTGTGCCTATAGAGGTAAGCGTCCAAAACTTGACTACTTAGACTCAGGATGTTTATTTCTAAAATGCTATGAAATTATTCAAAACTTCAATTTTATTACTATTATTATTTATTAATAACTAGCAGAATAATTTTGCTTATTTATATATCAATACTTAAATAAAATTTCACATATAAAACAAGCAGGTACTTATTTCTAATGGGCTGCATACTAATTAAAATATTGAGAATAGTTTAATATATACTAAGAATCAGCTTAATAAATGGCAAGTAGATTAAAAGGTTTGCATACCCAGCTTATAATATTTTATATAAGAGAACCCTGCATTTATGTCTTTTATAAATAAGAAATTTGGTTTGCAGCAATAAAATCTCAAGAAATTCCTGCCATGCAGATTTATTTCTATAGTACCTGCTCCAATCTCAGGAGCTAACAAAAACAAGCTGCACTGAACAGGCAGCTTGCTCCACGCTGTGTCACTGGGCTCCCAGGGGACCATTTTATTGAGCAGACATGGCAGACTGTTGAAGTAGTAAGAGTTACCTCCAGCTGCTAAAACTTTCCTACTTTAACCAAGTTGATTACAAAACACTTAGCTTTCATAGACGTGAGCAGAGTTAGCACTCCTCTTCAGTGGAGAAGCTGTTCTAAAGTGAGCTGGTAAGTAAACTATATATTATTGCCAGCTAGGTGCCTATTCCAATATTCAGACTGTACTCTTTTCTTTATTTTCTAAATCATCCAATTGTACTTATATAATTACAACTTTAAATTCTGGACTCAATTCAATTACAGTAGCTAAATTTGGTAATTAGATGCTATACTATTAGTTTTTGTAATAGCTGTCTTTCTTTACAAAGAGATGTTTCATGATATATTTACAAATTCAAGGTATAATATCAACTTACAGAAATATAAAGAAATAAAAGTAGCTTACTAGTAATTCCTACCTATGATCAAATCACTTGGGAATGGATTACAGGCCCAAAATGTGAAAAGTCTCCCTAAACACCAAATGCTGGCACAAATAACTATTAAATGACTTGGAAACAGAGTACTTAAGACTGGTACGTTCACCTACTGTGAAAAGGACCTACATTGTTAACTTCATAGATTATCTGATCTCTGACAGACTGAATATGAAGCCCTGGATTTGGATGAAATTATGTATGCTTTTCTACCTGGCTTAGAGAAGTCACCTGAGGCTGTTATGAGGGAGTGTCACTGTAAGAGGTAGCTAGGGACAGACAGGTCTCTGTAGAACAATACTGGGAGAGACAGATTTTGGTTTAGGCAGTTTATTTCCTCATATGCCTTCCTCCAAAATAATTCACTTTGTGTTTTGGTGAAGGAAGGATGGACAGGAGAGAGGAAGGGAGGAAAGGATAGAAGACGGATGAAGAAGTCGAATAGTTAAGTATTTCCACAGAAGATATATGACAGAACAATCTAGCTCATTTAGATTTTTAAAAATATTTTTATCTAAGTTAAAAAGAATGTTTTAGTGAAAGTATTCTTTAAAAAATTAGTGCTGGCATTCTAGATATTTAGACAAAACCTAACTAACATAGCTTGACAGCCACCTAAGTCTTAACTGTCTAATGAGTTAGCTTATGCAAACACAGCACTGCAGTATCAGACTGTCTGCACTGGATCAACTGTATTTCACTACTAGTAAGTCAATTTAAATTATACTGTGGTAAAATACTGATCTAGGCCAGAGATTATCTATGGATAATATTAGTGACAAGCGTTAATAGATATATTGGTACTCTCTGAATTTATAATTTAGGACAAACATGTTCTTCAAAGATTCCTCAGCTCTGAAAATAAGCTTATTCTTTATTTCAGAGGCAGATTTTTTTTTTTCATTTTGGTTTTTTGATTTAAGTAGGACATCAAATCCCTGGGAAAAGTTATTTATAATGTATTTGAAAAAATCTGTGTGTGAGTGAAGAGCTTTTGTAGCATCACCGGTCAGCAGGACGGCCTTGAGCTATACACTCTGGGGGCTGGAGTTTTCTTAACCTTAAAATGAAGAAGTTGGACCAGATTATGTTTAAAATCCTTTACAAAACAAGGGATTCACGATTCTGAAGAAAGTCCTTTCTACTTTGCCTTTAAACTCATGGGTTAGTATAGTGTACAGCTGTAGACATCTGAAGTGTGTGCGAGTGGGGGGGGGCTATGGACAGAAGTATGTTCCAAGGCACGAGCCATCTTTATCAAGGAGCTGGAGAAGAAGAATGAGGCCTTAAAGGTCAGCTAGGGACAGAGGAGCACTCCTAATCTAAGGGTGTAGCAAATGGATCCCTCATTTGACAAGTAATTCTCTGAGTATTCACAGGGCGCAGGTTCTAGGTGGTCGGATCTGTCAGTGAACTAAGCAGATAAAGAGCACTTCTCTTTCCTTGGTATCCATCAAAGCTCACAACCTTATAATTAAACTGAGAAATAATTTCCCAGAGATTGTTCTGTGCATCAGTCCTCTAGTTTGGAACAAATAGAATGTTCTCTTCACCAAATGTCAAGTACCAACGAAAGCTTTAAAAAAAAAATCTTAATCTGTACCCTTCCTATAAGCTGTATTGTGTTATCCCCACTGAATCAAATACACAGTCCTCAGTGACTGAAAATCTAGACCATAATTTTTCAAGTTTCCAGACTGGGCCACACACATGGAATGAAGTTCTTTGTAGCACATTATAGTTTGGCTTGCATTCTAACAGGGAAGCTACTCTCATAAGAAAAATTCTCTCTACCTGTTCCTACTATTGACATGTGCTTTGGGTGTCTGTGTTGCCACAGAATTCCCACAATGAAACCCAGTCCCCAGTATAAAGCTATTGAAGATGGGGCTGTGGGGAATCTTTCTGGAGGCTGAGCTTTCCTGAGGAGTTTGGCGTCTTAAAAAGGAGGCACCAAGGGTTGACTGCTTTCCCTCCCCCTTGTGAAGGAGCAGATGCCTGTCTGCTCACTGAGAAGGGAATTGAACCCAAGGCTTCTTTGCTTGTTTTATTTTTGGAGATGGGGGTCTCCCTAACTCAGATTAGCCTCAAGGTTGCTATGAAGCTGAAGATGACTTTGAATTTAGGATTCCCAGGCCTGCTCCTCCTGAGTGCTGGAGTTTTAGGTGTCTGCCACTGTGCCAGGCTGTGTGCTAACAGATGGAACTCACTTCGTGTACATCACAGAAACACTCTATTAAGTAAACTATGGCTTCAGGACTCTGAGGAGTCAGTCTGTTGCTGTGCAATGACAAAACGGCATGTGACAACACCTGGCAGGAACATACATATGCTAACTGCCCCAAAAGGCCTTCCAGAGAGTAGACTTACATCATGCAGAACCATAATTTATTTAGAAATAAATGTCATTAAGTTTGAATAGATTATTATTTCATATTCCACCAAGAATTATTTAGAAATTTTAAACTGCTTTTCTAAAAGGAAGATTAGCATTTATTCCTTATCCTTTCTGATACATTATAATAAAATATGACCTATAAAATCTTTTTAAATATGCTTTTTTGAGACATTTTAAAGCAGAAGGCTTCACTTTTTAGAATGCATTAAGTCAACCTCTTTTTGTACAAGGAAACCAAAGATCAAACTTCTGAGCTGCCATTTTAGTCTTCCAGACTCTGAGTCTACCCTGGACTAGGAGTGTAGATAGTGCATGCATCTGTCATTCTTATGGCCAACCAGCCACAAACAAACTGCATGACTCAGCATTTCTTCATGGCCCCAGCAACCATGTGAGCATTCAATTAATGTGTCTTTCTTTCCCCCACCCGCCACTTAAAACAGAAAAGCTGAAAAGGCAGGGATATCTCCCTTAAGAAAGTTAATTTACATATAAAGACTAATTAGCATATGGTCTTGATTCACCAGGCTAAAAGAAATGCACAATTGGAAAACAACAAAACAATTTAACAAGCTCTTCCTCTTTTCCCTTAGACATTCTGAGTAGAGGTTTTATATATATAGCCTGGGCATGTTTAACTTTGTAAGATAAACGCTGGCATGAATAGAACACAGGTGGGGGGGGGTTGCGGTAAATGGACAAGGTATGATTAGAAGAGTGTTGTCATCATAATAAAACTGAGCATTAAAACATGCTAAGTTATGAAGTCCCAAGAAAAGAAAAGCAGCAGGCAGTGCCTTCTAGGGAGGAGGTACAGAAGGAAACCAGGGACTGTTTGGTTGAGTCAGTAACTGAGTTGTGACCAGCACTGATGGAAGGCTCACCATCAACTGGAGATGGAACAAAGCTCAAAGCTTGGCCGCTC